TATTTGTTATTTACAATCGATTATATTTTTTGTGCATAAAAAACGTTGAATACAACATAATGGATTTCTACTTAAATCTGAAATAGACTGTTGTATGAATATTGTAATGAACTTCAATAGGACATGACAACTTTAAGGATATTTTTCTTTCAAAATGTCCTTTTTCAGGCACAATGTATTTTGAATTTTTTTTTTACTTCACAGCTACGAATCTCCAATACCCACATAACTCTAAGGCCGTCCCACATGAAGGGCAAAGGGATGCTCCAGAAAGATCCGAGTCATCAGAATCAATGAGCGCATCACAATTGTTGCCATCAAAACCATTTTATTTACTAACAGTGTAGACATTGGATTTCAAAGCCTTGTCACAGCACTAAGAATTAATTGTAATTACAGAACATTCAAACAGTTCCATCATTCTTTACTTACATTATATATCAAATAAGCATAAGGGAGTTCTATGGCACTGAATTTTTTTAAAATTTATTTATATATAGTAGTATAGTTAGAAATAAAAGTTATATTCAAAGCAAGACGAGGATGTCCAAAGTGACGGATTAATTGAATATATTTCAGTTAGAAACACAAGTCAACATTTTCTGTCAGTGATATCACCTATACATTTTGTGATATTGTTAAACGAATTGTCTTTCGAGCAATTTAGGAGTTTATTCATGGTTTATTAATTTCGAGTAAAATCGAAATATCATATACGACCACAATAAATCATTTAATGTTCTTTATTATTGCATTTAAGATTATTATCTATAAGAATTATAGAAAGGCTTATTTTATTTTGGCCTCTTACGAGTATTTACCCGCTTTCTGAGAAATTGCTTTATTTGCATCTCTTAAATTCGCAAGCAAATCCGAGAATTTTGCTTAAAATTTATCATAAAAATGACGTCGGCAATAGTTTGAGGGCATGTTAATTTTGTGGATTATATGGCTAAAACTGTTACAATTGACATAAATATTACGTAGACTGGGAACCGAAACCCGCTACTTCAGGAGTTCTAGGAACACACTTCGACACGCGAGCCAGTCTTTCGCCCCTTCTTATACACTCTTTAAACAACACATTTTATATTAACGAACTTAAATGCAAAAATCACGTTTACAAAGTTAATGCCAGTTCTGTTTCTGCAGGAATCACGAAAGGTCTTTTATCCTCTGTACTGTTACTATTTAGCTCTCAACGGTCATGTAAAGTATTTAAAACCGCTCTCCAATAAAATAAATTTAATTATAGTTCGATCTACAGAACCTAGTTTCGAAAATAAACGTTAGATAGCGCTGTCGGCAAGCAGGGATTTTATGTTTCCAAGAGTGTACACAAAAATAACATATGCAACTCTGCTATTTAAGTTGCTTTATTGCATTCGTACAATTTGAAACCTCGCTCCTAATGTCACACATTTTGAAAACATGAACTTGTGCAATAAAGCTTAACATTATAAACTAATTGCATAAACTACTATTCTAACACTAAGTTTTTCAAGAAAGATATTACGTGTCACTTGCTTTGGAATTATTTCCATGTTTTCTTACCTTGTTCGCATGGCTTGTAGCGGGTGGAGTCCATGTATGATTTGTGGGATGATTAGTCACAAAATTCAATTGACGTTGCTTCCAAGGATTGTCGATAATGCACTGAGAGTCAATAACAGTGATGAGTTCTGCAAAAAAGTCTTCTGCGTTGTAAATGAAGCGATCAGCAGTCAGTTGGTTCTGCTGTCGATTTAAACAATGCATGCTAAGAGCATCTTATGGGCAGGTTCTTGTTAACTCAATGGTGGGGCCCTGGACCTTCAATGTCCAAAGACCCCAATCGTTCTTAAAACATTATTTAATACTAAAATTTTCAAAAAATACAATAAAAATTATAAAGAAGTGGTGTATGATTAACCCATTAGTGCCCAGAACATTTTTTGTTAAAAAATAATTGATATTGGGAAATTATGTTCAAATAAGTGTACTGTGAACATGTATATCAAGCTTTATTTATTATTTTTAGTTTAAAAAAGATGCTTGGACCACAAATTCACTGAGCACATGTGATATCATCTTGTCTATTTTTTGAATGAAAGTTATAAAAGTATTTCATGTGCACAGGAATAATACATTTGATGCACTTACCTGTGGCATGTGATTTGCAGACCTTGGTTGTGTGTGCGTGTTTTCTTGTGGTATGAAAAATAACCTTCATGGTGAAATCTAAGAAGAAATGCAATTAGCGACTGGAGACACATATTTGGACTAACTTTTCAACTACCTGTTCCATATTTTGTGTAAGATCTCGATCTTCACAATGCAACATGATCCATGGCTTCATTCTGAGATTTCGTGTGGAGAGCAATTTTGAATTTTTCTCCTCACAAAAAATTAGTATCCACCAATTTTTTTGATCTAATGCTTGTTCTCTAGTAACAGACATGATTTTATTTTAATAAAGTAAATACTTTCACCCAAAAAACAAACATATGTATGCAAAAAGTTATAAATCATGCTGGTAAGTGCAATTTTTCAATGATTTAAATAAAAATTGTTCAGACATTGAAAAAAAAAATTCAATAACATTTTGGTGAGAATTTCAAATTTTTAAACTGATAAAATTGGTTTTAATTTAGTTTACTATCAACCACATTGTTAAAAAGTCTGAAGAACAAAAAAATGTTATAGAATGTTCTAAAATTAATTTAAAAAATTTGTTAATTGTTTTTCTATTTGATTTTGACATCGAAATTGACAAAACACATTCATACAATCATGACAAAATACATTCATATTCAACTATTTCCCAAGGAGTCTAATTTTTTTCAGCCTGATACACACAATAAAAACTAAGAAAACAATACAATTTGTTTACAACTTTCAGACCCAAGAAATAATTATCTGTAAATAAATGGGGTGAATTCCGTCCACAGACATCTGAAGGGAGATTTTCACTAAATTTTAAAAATATTCCTCATCCCAAACTATAGGAATATTCAGGTTCCTTAGATATTTGATATAAATTGAAGTCGAGGATGTAGCTTTGCCGGAAGTTGGAGGAGTAGTGTTTGTCGGAAACGTATTGGTTTTGTGCTAATGAATTGTTTTCAACCATTGTGTCCAATGTACGTATCATTTTATCAATACTAGATTCTTTCTCTCTCAAAGCATATTCAAGAAAAGTGTTTCTGAGATGGTCTAAATAAGGCTGAATTTTCATAAGTTTATCATTTTTGCCTAACTGGGAGTTATTGAGATGCATATGTCGCATAATCACCTTAAAAAAACTTCAGCAATGAGACTAGATTGTATCCCATATAGAGGTAACAAACTAAGGCCATTAGGTATTGGGAAACATTTTTGGACAGGAGTGTAACCTTATCAGCTACTACGATTCATTGATAAGTCAGATACTGAAAGAACATTTTCGAACCAAGCTGAGCATGAAAGAAATTTTCAGCGCACGAAACTATTTTTAAAACAGTTTACAGCGTCAGGAACACCCTTTTTTCGTATTTGCTTTTACTTTCTCGCCCTTACAAAGGTTCTTCATAAGAAGTTCTGTATTTGTGCGCCAGAAAACGGTGAATTTTCCGCAGAAAAACGCATTGCCGGACACTAGTTACCAAAAAATGCAGCAATCTACTGATCCCTTTGATGTAAAGCAATTGAACTATCTTGCAGGGCAGGCTGGAAGGCTCATTGCATGCGTTCGAGGTGGTAGAGTGGGGCCTCGATAGGGCTTGATTCACGGCGGATCCGATGTAGCCATCAGACAGAAAGGTCTTTCTTAGCAGTATCTTCTCAAAAATTCTTCTTAGCTCTAAAGAAGGCCACAGCAAGATGGCAGAAACGTCAGCCCAATTGACCGCGACGCGACTCATCCTGGATAACGAAGAATGTGTGTGAATATAATTGGGTTGTACAGATGGATGACAATATCTTTTTTTAATTATTGCTACATAGGACATTTGAATTACTAAGCAGTGAAAGTTTGTCCCAAACAAGGCTTAATATAAGAATGTAAAGTGACCTTTAATGTTTCAAATTATGTATTTAGGGCAAAATTTCATCTTGTAATCAGGTAAATATGATGCATGATCTAAAGGGTTTTCAAAGTTTTGTGTAATTTAAATTTAATGATAGTAAATGAAAATTCAATTAAATTCTATTTAAAAAACAAGTGGGAATGCATGGTGTACCAAAACTTTTCTTCTCTTTAGTGTTCTGAAATGTATAATTTGTACATTGTATGAATACTAATATGCAGTTGGAGAGAAGTCAACAAAAACATTTAAAAATCTAAAATAGGGATAAATTTTATTGAAAAAGAAATATCTTGTTTTAATATGGGAGGACTCAGATGGGATTAAAAAATATTTTAACTTTAGAAATTTTCAAAATTGAAGAGGTTTTAATGAAAATCAGAATTATACCATATTTATAAATGCACTTTCCTGAATTCAAGAAAAAATTGAAGCCATTTTTCACAAAAGTGTGAAAATGTCGCAGGGACATGTCAAGTATCCCCCAAAATTTTAATCCTAATGATCCTTGAATCCGGGTCTTATTCCTGACATGTTTACTCATTTGTACGTTATCTCGAAACCTTTTAATCTGGCAGTCATCATGATGCATTCTTTCAGACATAACAATTTTTGTGTACAAAACTGTTTATTCTTGACACTTGCACCAGTCTTAGTCATCTTTGTGTATTAGATTCCTGACAAGTGTGCCATGTTGGTGGAAAACAATGTTAAACGCTAATTTTACAACAACAAAAATTGAGATCATATTGAGCTGATTTCAGTACTATTCCTCTCAAGTTTAGAGGAAGATACAGTGAAGATATTACTGTTCAAGAGAATGTAAAAAAGAGTAAACATAGTGACATTTCAATGCATATAAACAGAGATTCTTAGAGTTGGAAATACTATTCGTTTCTGCATTTTTCAAATGTGAGGATTAGCGACTAAATTGTTATAATTTCTTGTATTTTGCAGGGAAATGAAGAAGGGCAGTGGCTGTAATTCGTGTACTCATCCTAGCTGCCCTCACAGTTTAAACAGCAATGGTGTTTCAAGCTGTGTTGAATGTGAAGGTGGTGTCCTTGTGCTGGATCCTGCATCAGGACCTAAATGGAAATTGGGTTGTAACAGGTAAAGGAATTCAGTTTTATAGACAATTTTTTAAAATTAAAGAAAAGTATTGTTTTTTGAAGTGCAACATTTTGAACCTTAAGAAATTAGAATGATAGCAATGATTAAAATTTTTGTAATCAGTGAGATATTTTGATTGTTTTTAAGGGGTAGGGTCAAGTACTTTCTAATTATTTGAGAAATACAGTGAAACTCCGTTTATACTTTTTTTTTGGGTACGTCGCGGATAAATTCCTATAATTCCTATGCTAAATTATTTCAGTTATTCGTTTTACGTTTATACATTTTTCATACTTATACGTTCACAATAAAAGCCCCTTTAAACCCTTATAACTGTCCAATGATCCCGGCGAGGCACTGGGTAATGAGCGCCTTGAGCCCGAAACTTGTGTTTTAATCGAGACAGGAATGTTTAGGAGTAAATAACATCGAGGCTGTTACTCATGTTCGGATTTGTGTATTTATTGGTGGAAAAGTTTGATTATCAACATTAGAAGGCGAAATGATCTTATATTATCTAAAGCAGATGTATAAGAATCGAATTCAATAATGTTGTTAATATCTACATATTCATATTATCAGTATCTTGTATGGCCAATTCTTTTTATTGTAATTAAGAGATCTATGAAATCATCTAATAGATAAAGTAATCATAATGATGGTAATGCAATAAAATTACTGTAATTGCAGATAAAATGGTTCTGATAATTTCAATGGTTTGTCCTTTAAGAAGGAATCAATTAGTATAGGGATTAAAAAATAGAAATGTTTTAATATATGCAACAAGAATCATAATTATTAATAGAATTATTATAATATGCTCATGAAAGAAGATAAGTTGTTCAATTAGGGGGAATGAGCTATTTTGTAAATTTAAATTGGATCATGTAGCCATATGCAAAAAAAGACTTATTTATTAATGAAGATTAAATTCATCGCACTTTTGTGGTATATTAGTAATTAGATAGAATAGGAAGTTCTGAATAAGAGTGTTCAACTGGAAAAAGATTTTGACATCATTCTAAAATCTATTTAAATTTATTGAAAACAAGTTTTCAATGTGAAATTATTTTTGCATGAGATGAAAGTTAATATGATAATACAGATTAAAGAAATAGTTGATTCTAATCAATATAAAATATTTCATGGAGTATAAACATCTGAATAATCAGAGTATCAACGAGGTATTCCAACTAATTCAAAAAAGTGTTGGGAAAATATACTTAAATTAACCCCAATAAATATTACTATAAATTGTATTTTTAATCATTTTGGATTTATTGTTAATTCTGTAAATATCAGATATCAGTTAATAAATCCTGCTATAATAGGCAGATACATGGATCACAACTTAATATATATAATACTCTAATATATAACTATAATAATAGCAAATACTGCTCTTATTGATAATACATAATGAAAGTGGGCTATTACATAATATGTATCATGAAGAATAATATCAATTGATGAATTTGCTTGAACAATACGTGTTAGCCCTCCATTAGTAAATAAGAATTAAAATCGTAATAATCATAATCACAATGGCTAGTACAATCCCTGTGAAGCCTCCTAAACCTTACACCTGTCCTTATTCCTTCCCAATTCTGGCCGATAGATAAGATGACGCAGGGTGCATGCGAGACAGAGCGCGAAGATGTGCCCTATCAGCAATTCCGATTTGACTGCGACTGACGTGACTTCACTACAGAGGGTGCTAGGTGATTAATAAAGGAGGATTACTCCAAATACAATTAATGAAGGAACACTCCACGGTGCCCTCAATGCTTCTTAAGGAGCTACGAGCTAGAGTCTACTTCTTAAGGAGACGCGTTGCGTCTATATAGATGCAACATTTTCTTTTTCAAAAATGACAGTTTCTATAACAAATAAGTGTTGCCAAAGAACACATCGCTCTCCGATAAATATTCTTCCGCCGATCAGCTGGCTGGATTTTGTAATTTTGTATTATTCATAATGTGGAGTTAGAAATAGTTTCACGAGAGATTGATTATATTCCGCTATCATTAATGACAAAAAGTTGTACGAATTGATACAAATAATTTCAAAATAATGAAAATGTGTGACTGAGTGAAATAGGCCATCAGACAGGAGAATGACTTATATATGAAATATATTATCCGTGCACGTTTTCTTGAGCTCTCATTTTGCTAGATGCGTGAGGAGTGGGGGATTGATTATTTTGTCGAGAGGACTATTATATGAAATTTGTGGCTCATTTTTCAATACAAAATAGTTTCTATTCCATGGGAGCGAGCATTTCTGGTTATTAGATTTTGTCAACAAATCTTGAAGCTCTCATTTGATCGTAATTTAACAAATGTTAGTAAACTAGTGGGGATAGGCATTCCAGGACTCAAAAAAAACCACCTGTGTGTACAATACTGATACTGAACAATACTTTTTGATACTGCATGTTCAGAACTTTCAAATTAATGTGTGCTGTATAATGTTTTACAATTAGAATAATTGATATTTATAATTTCTATTGATCATTATAACTAATGATCAATTGAATGGGTGAAAACCAGAAAAGTGTAAAAAAAAAAATTTATGAATTCTGAGAGAACTGTTTATTTAATTCTAAAATGTAAAATCAAATTTCTTTGTTTAATTATTAAAACCACAGCATTTCAGTTGTTCATTTAATCGCGAATTTACATTAGCACTGAAATAGCGTACTATAAACATGTTTTCTCCAAATTTATGAAACTGTTTTTTTTTCATCCGTTCAGTTATTGATCATTGAGAGACAGATTTCGTTAGTTAATTGTAAAAATGTGGTAATAATAATTAAGTACTGTAATTCATTTGTTCAACAAGTCAAGACAAGTGAAGCAGTGCTTCATTGAAATGTTAGCCGTGTATAATTAACACAAGACCCCCAATTAAGTAATGATTGGCAAAATACACATAGTTAATCAAAAGAATCCAAGTGGATTTCTTAAATATAAAAACCAACAGTCAGTTCTTAAAATTAGATATTAGGTACACTAAAAGGATGTGAAATAACAAATTCCAATTTATGAAAGAGACATGCTTTTCCTCTTTCATTATGAATTTATGAATTTAGACTTAAGAAATGAAAATTGAAAAGTTTCACACCTTCAGTAACTTTATTATCTATAAATAAAAGTCACTTTGAACATGAGTTGAAAGGTTTCATAAAAGCAAATATATAAATGAAAAAATAATACTCTGTATGTGTTGTGATTTCTGTGAAGGATACTGTTTAACCGAACACCTTCAAAGTTTGATAAATTTTATCCACTTTGGTTATTTCAAGTCAAACTTTATGAAATTGACATTACTTTCCTAAGTACTTTGCGAACATATATCCTAGAAAGTTCATGACCTACTATTAACTAGTTCAAAATCCAGTTTGCCGTAATGAGTAAAACATTTTATTTTGAAATGGTAATTATACATAGGAAATTTTAAAGATTAACACTATTTGTATATTAACATCTTGTATAAAAACATTTGATTGGTTATCAAACCTGACCTAACTGTGTAATTTGAAAACTTTTAATCTCATATTCTAGGGTCAATCCATTTAAGTGGTCCAGAATTTAATAAATTGCTCACTTGACCGTCTAAAAAAAATCATAATTTTTACATAAATTTCTTTGTTTTGGCAGTTGTTCAAAAACCACTTTAATTTATTTTTACTGTATCTGGATTATGAGTAGCGGCCATTTTTGTTTTACTCTGTGCGCCATTTTTCGCGTTTGTACACATTTACTCTTACTAAGACATTGGATTCAGTGTGCTTTGGCCTACAAATCGAAATAGAGTTTACATACCTTCTATGTTTTTATTTGTGAAATACTCGCAACCAAATCTTTGGAATGCGAATGAAACAAATTTAATTTTCAGAAAGTAATTTCTCAAAGGAGGAATACCCTCAGGCTTAATTTTTTCTGTGCTATTACGCATAACAATATAGTTACGTTTCTTTAGAGATTATTGGTAAGTAACATACCACTTAAGAATTACACCCTCTTAAAAATTCAAGTTTTTGACGTTTTCTGGGTATTTTAAACTAAAATCTATTTTGATTTACAATAATCAATTATATTTGATTATTAATAAACATAGAATTTGCCTATTATGTAATTTTGAATATTACTTTATTTGAAATAAACTTACATCGAGACATTACGTTTGTAATTGAAAATATGGTCATTTTGGCATTAAGAGCTGAACCAGCTTATATAAAAATAGTTTATAAATGATAACAAGAAATAAATTCTGCCTTTTGTTTATTTTTTCACGTTTAAATTTGCAATTCTCATTACTATTTTTTAACGTTTCTTTAGAGAAACGCACAGTTGCACAGTACTCCTTTGATTCAAAGATCGCGATTGAAGTTTAGAATAACATATTGGACGGTATGATTTTCCCGACTAAGTATTGACCGAAACATTTTTACTTTCTCGCACTTACCTAAGAAGAGGAAGTGTAATCGTGCGCTGGAAAACTGAATTTTTAACACAAAAACACTTATTGCCGTGCCTTGGTAATGAAAAAGTGAGTAAATCCAGTTGCTAAATATAGAAGAAAAAATCTCCATATTGGCCTAGCCTATATATTTATGAATCTGTAATATTTGTCAAAAGTGACTTACTTAACAGTAGGAACATATTTTCATGCAATACTGATATTTATAATTACAATCCACATCGTAAAAGTCACGTTCATCAAGTGTTGGTATCAACAGCTCACTATCAGACAAATTTAAGTTAAAAGTAAAATCTTTTCTGCTGCATAACTGTTTCTATACAATTAGAGACTATACTGATAATCAAAAAGGAAAATAATGTTTATTTTAACAAAACAGTGATATATATTAAATTAGATTACATTTGTGTTCTATACATTTTTTAAAAAGTCTTAATATGTTTGTAACAAATAATGTACTTCAGCTTCCGGGTTAATGACCCCCATTTTGATCAGGTGTATGTTCAGTTTCTCTGATCCATTTAGCAAATGCTGAGATGGCCCCTTGTTTTTCTACAGGACATAAATGTAGCTTCACTATGCGCATGTTTTGTTGAACTTTCCTTTTGCTTGTAATGGTAGAGGTAGAGTGAGTTAACATTTTGTTAGCAATGCAGAAAAATCGTAACTGCAATTCGTTTACTGTTGCAAATAAGTTTTCTGTAATTCGTTAACTATTTAATAGTAAATGAGGGAAGCGATTCTGGAACTCAATATTTTCTTCCCACTAACGTCGCACAAGATTTACTTTTTTTTCTTGACTATATACCATTTCAATCAAATGAAAAACACAATGTAGGTGTAGGTGTAGCCAGTTCAAGCAGTATTCAGTAGATACATCAAGTCCTTTCACGTGGCTCATCTAATTCCAATGTCGCAAACTTAAACCTATTTCAGTACATGCAAATCATGCATGATTTATTCACATATTTGTCCCACCTTATATCTTTTAATTGTCAAGCATTTAGTAGATGTTTTGCTTGATCTTCGAATATAACCATATCATGAAGCAAACGAAAGGCCCGCCAAATAAACACAATTCTTGCTAGTTGAACGTCTCATTTCTGTAGTGAAGTGTCTAAATATTAACTAAATACATCATTCAGAAAATATTAACTTTTATCTTGAACATAGTTTCAAAATATTTTCACACTATTCTATCACTATAACAAAATATTTTTCTTAGCGGAATGACAATACAATAGGTGGGTTCCACGACTCTTAGATAAGTTAACCGACGTTCGTGGAATAAAAGTAAATAATTTCTTCGTGTTATTCACCGACCCCTGGCACGATCCCTGTGCTTTGGCAACAATAACTTTTAAAAAAAGACGGTCTCATGAAACTTATGGAAATGTCAGTCGGATGCGTACGTGAGCTCTTAGAAGATTTATCTGTAGGCGACAGCTAGCTCCGACAGAAGGTCAAATGCGTCCCCAGGAGAAATTAACGGCGTAGAGACCACGAAATAAAGTTTGTACACTTCGAAGGCCCTTTTGATCGCCGTAATTATCACACGAGATCCTTTCGGAAGCGCCTTGGCGCAAGCAGCTAATGAAATTGATCTCTTTTCCGCGCGGCGCAGCGGGTGCCGCCAGACTGGCAGCCGTGCACTTTCTGCCGCCCACGTAGAACACCATGCTTCGACCCACGGAATCCCAAGTAACAGCAAGCTTTAAAACGAAGCAACTAGCCGCGAGTCTCCGCCGCCAATTGTAGCCCAAGCAGGCCTTCGTTTCCGCAGTGAAAGCGAGTCGCAAAAGGTCATCAGTATGGTTCCCATTGTGTGCCCGCTACCTCCACCTCAGGGGAGACTTCTTCGATAGTGACTTTCGGCCGACGATACTTTTCCAAGCCGACCAACGTTGTAATTTGTTGCTCAGAGGCTCTGTATTTACATCCAAGTATAGTTCGTCTTCTATCTGGTTTTGCGTCCGTGATATTAAGCGAAAAAAGAGTGGTAGAAAACGGCAACCCCTTTCAATGTTAGTTAAAGACACGATGTCGGAACTCGGAATCTTCCGTAGACAACTTAGGTACCGGGTGAGGCAGTATGCGCGGTTGAGCAGCTCTATGCTGCGATCAGTTAAGCTCAAAACTCTTGCCTGGAGATTCGTTTTTCTGTCATCTGGTGACTCAGAAGTCGCTCGCCTTTCACCAAGGAGGCCCGGGTTCGAATCCGGACAATCTCATGTCAAATTTGTTTCAACAAAACTTAGTTTGGCTGTTTCGCGAGGGCTATTCCAACCCCTGTGAAGTGTCCTAAACCCTACCCCAATTGTGGCCGCTGTGTAGTGACGCAGGGGCGCGTATGCGGAGATGCTACTTGGCGGTCCTGACAGCTGACTGCGACGAGACGTGACGGACATGACAATGTTAATAATAAATGGAGGATTACTCCCGCGCTAATGTTGATGGAGTATTATTCCGAAAGCGCAAACTGCTCAACGGCCAGAAGGGACTTGACGCGTTGCGTCAATTGGACACAATGAATAAAAAAAATTATTTAAAAGTTGTGAAGTGGCTATAAAAAGGTAGATATTGTTAAAGAACTGGGAAAACGATGGTGTAAAAATATTGTCTTTATTTTGCTCATAATCAATTTCAGTTATTCGTTTCTCTCACACATTTTTTCCCTTCAGTCCCCTGAAAAATGTATAAGTGAAGTTTCACTGTTCTTATTTTGATAGTTCAAGATTTTAGGTATGTGAAAAATCAATAGTATACATCAGAAATTATACATTGTGCAGAATGTGAGTCTTCTGTGCAAAAATATTTCTTGACAAGTCCATGATATGAGCAGAGTTCAAAATTTTGGAATGAGTATGCCAAATAAACTTTTATTCAAATTACATAATTTTTTGGTATATGGAAACTTTTAAGTATCTAGTGTAGGAATCACTTACAATATGATAGTTGACAGCCATGTTGGTGTCTGTCACTCCTTAGTAAGATTGCTGGAGATGTAGATACCTTTGAATAATAAAGTAATTAAAAGGTGTTGTCCAGTATTGAAAGTACATTTTAACTTATGATCTTTTCGATAGCATAGCTATCTGAAAAATTACATGATTACAGATTTATGTAAGGTAAGGTAATAAATTATAATATTTGTAAATAATTTATATAATTCATGTATATGTATTCCTGTAATTTTTCAGGTAGTTCTGTTGATGATAGGTATGCTGTCGAAAAGATCTTAAGTTAAAATATACCCTTGATACTAGTCACATTGTATTTACTTTATGTCACTCCATTGTTTGATTCACTTTGTAGTACCTAATGTTCTATTTACTCTTACAAAATAATTCTTTTTAATCAATAAACAATGAGTTTCCATGCAGGAGTGGTAAAAGCTGCTATTCAAAATTGATTTCATTGTGAAACATTTCCATCTGTTACTTAATGCTACTTGGTAGAAATAATCTGCCTTAAGTTGTCTTATATCAGTATTTATGATTATTGTAATTTCATAATCTTAAAAAAATATCTGGGTTTACTCCTCAGTGTTTTTGTTTGTTTTGTAAGTATGCCAACTTAGTAGTTCATTATGTGATAGATTCTAAAAATTATTAATTTATTTATAATTTTCAGGTGTGATGTTATAATCCATCTATTCGATGATGCCCAAAAAGTGTTTGTTGAAGAAAATGTTTGTGAGTGTGGTGCACAACTTATATCAGTTGAATATAAGCCAGTAAGTTCTATCATTCTTATTCTGAGCATTGGAATATTTAGAAATCAATATAATTTACAATTTATGAATGCTGAAAATAGTTTTTTAACTATTCTGAAGTAGTATCAATTGCAATTGCAAAATCAAAGCTAATGTTGTAGTATGTCTTTTTAGGAGAAAACTAAACTTCCTAATGAAGCTACCGAGATGACAGGCTGCGTCTTTTGTTATTCGCCTTTCACCTCTTTAGTTGAAAAGCACAGAGCGGTTGCCAGAGCTCCTAATAGTAGAGCAACTCGAGGGCGTAGTGGTCGTGGACGTAATAAGGGGAAGCCACGACCTCCTAAGGACAAGATGGCTCAGCTGGCAGCTTATTTTGTGTGATTTATGGGTATTTTAACTTATTGGGAAGAAAGGAAGGTATACAGTGTGATTAATTTGTATTGTACATTAATATATAATGCAGTAAATAATTTTTACTACTGTAAATAAAAGGTATGTTGTTCTAGTAACATCTTGACACTGTCAACTAACATTAATTTATTACCATGATGTTACTCTCTGAGTTAATGAGTGAAGATTCATATGTACAACTAAATTCTGGAAATGTAAAAGTAATGAGGTTATCTTTTAATTTATGTATTTCTATGTACACAACATCTACTCCAGATCCTCAAATCCATTTCCATTCAATTTATTTTTTTGTTTTACTGAATGTGCTTTTAAGTATCAAGATTCTTTTAATGTCATAGTTCTGTGTTTTTTGGATCGAGTTGTTGAACCTGCATAAGGACTTGCACCATTCAATTTGAAATTGAGAAGAAATTTATGTGAAAGTACGCTTAACCCTGGGCTGGAAACACCCTTTCCTTGGGATGTGAAGTGAAACACGGGACATAATTCACTCCAAGCATGAAAACATATGTTTTTAAACTGTGCGGTTCATATCGACAAATCTTATCAGCATAATAATCTATGTAATGATTCTTTAATTTATAAAATAGATGGTTGGTAAAAACAATTGTTAGATTTTGTAACATATATTATTAATTATTTAACAGGTATCATAAACACTTTTAATGAAGATTTTTACAATCGTAGCATATTGTGAACTTATGGACTGAACAAACCAATTTGCTGCAGTCATAGCATTAAACACTTGTCTTTTTGCCCTTTTGTTTTTTTTGTCACTTTGTTTGTTGGGCACATGCTACATTGCCCGTAAGAGCAATTTGTAGCTGCTGGTACAGGTAGGGGGATTTCCACTTGCAATTGATCAGTAATTGCTTGCTTTACCAATCTATCAATGGTATTTGTGTTCAGTCGCTATACCATGTGTGATTGAACTGAAGCTTCTCTAGCATTGTCTCAGAAAAACCTACGCATTCAAACAACTTGCATTCATATGCTATAAAAAAGATAGAGGGCATCTTGTCCTTCTATTACAAGTATAAGTGCTGCACATTTGATCAAATATATCAACACCTCCTTTCCTACAATTGTTAAAAGGACCATTTCTGGCAGTTCTTTTCCAGAAAGGAATGAAATACCCTGATGCATGTTGGAAAGGAGAAGTTCCACCTTATTTTTTGCAGGGTCATGTAAGAAAGGAGAGTCAATTCTCTGTTGAATGCAAACATAGATGTGATAGGTTTTCGTAATTTTGTTTATAAAGCTTCAGGTGGTAGTTTTGGTTTGCTTTTGAAAGGGGTTTCTATCAATTGTGCACTGGAATGTTTCTATTACTTTTATGTATTGATTGCGAAAGGGTTTTGACCAAATAATCTGCCAAGAGTTTTCAGTTAGTATATCCTGTGTACAGAATACCATTTATTATATATCCACTCTTTGAACTACACATCATGACTATTTTGAGGCCGGCTTTGGCAGGCTTGTTAGAAATGTACATTCTGGAATGACATCTGCCGCAAAAAGCCAACAATTGTTCATCAAAGGTACAATAAGCTTCAGGCCTATAATATGCTCTGCAACTGGAAATAATTGAATACCAAATTACCCGGATATGTGCCAGTGTATCATTTTCTCTTCTACATTCTCATGTTTCCTCGTCATTGAGCCATTGAGCGTATTGATTGTAAGAGAATATCTTCTCTGACATAATGCTTCTTGAAATTCGTAACCTTGTTGTTTTTATCCCAAAGTTAATTTGTATTTCTATGATTTCTTTTTTGTTCACCAGCAATCCAATGAAGGCTATAATCTTTTCAACTCTGTTGTACAACTATGGAAACGTACATTAACCGGGTCATCTCCGGCTCCATTCAGCTTTTCTACTGCTTAGGCACCCCTGTCAAGACTAAACGTTGCAGATGGAGCCTCAGGAACAGCCGCAGCATATCTCTAAGGGGGGAGAAGTGGCCTAGCAAAATTACATTGTAGAAAATGGCGGATGTCGTTAGTTCAGATGTGGAAATATTTCCAAATAAAACTACATAAAATGAAACTCTTTTATGAACATGAAAAAGTAAATCATTTGTGTGTGTGTCGTGTCATGTGGCGTGCCGTGTGCGGTGCGTCTGTTTATGTCTGTCTGTCTGTCTTCTTGATCTCTTCACCCTCTCATCTCACTCCTCTCTCTCCTACCTCTTCTCCTCCTTCTCTCTCCCTCTACCAGATCCTTCCCTTCTCTTCTTCCTCTCCTCTCCCTTCCCTCTCTCTCGCCCCTCTCGTCCCCCCTCCTCTCCGTTCTCATCTCTCTTCCCCTCCTCTCTCTCCCTCCTCCTCCCCCCATTACTCATCCTCCTCTCTCTCCTTCTCTCCCTCCCTCCTTTCTCCCCGTCTCTCCTCGTCCTCCCATCTCTCTCCTCCCTCTCTCTCCTCTCCTCTCTCCTCTCCTCCTCCCTCTCTCTCCCTCCTCTCCTCCTCCCTCTCTCTTCCCTCCCTCTCCTCCCTCTCCATCCCCCCTCTGCTACACACTCCCTCTCTCCATCCTCTCCCTCTCCTCTCATCCTCTCTCTTCCTCTCTCTCTCTCCCTCTTTCTCTCCTCTACCCTTCTGATCTCCCTCCTCTCTCTTCTCTCCTCCTCTCTTCTTCCTCTCCTCCCTCCCTCCCTCCCTCTCTCCCCCTCCCTCCTCCTCTCTTCCTCCTCCTCTCTCTCTCCCTCCTCTCTCTACCTCACTTCTTCTCCCCTCTCTCTCTCTTGCTCGTCTCTCTCTCTCTCGTGTGTGTATGTATGTATAGTATATACACAACGGTTTAAATTCACTCTTAACAATTATTTTGAAGAATTTTATGTTGATATGTCATAAAATAACTCATTTTAGAACATTTAGATTCTCATACTTTTACATTCAAGATTATGGTTTATAAATAATCCAGAACCTTTATCAAATATTCATTTTACTATAAGTATCCATAAGAAAAGTAGTACAATTTGCGAAATCGTGTATTTTTCGAATCGATAGATGACTTATAGGGAGCCATTTAAAACAAAAATGGCTACATTCAAAAATCAAGTCCATATATTGTGTTTTAGCAATAAATAAAGTAGGTATTCACACTAATTTTACTTCTCTTGTAAAAGTTATTTTTCAATATTTACTTCAAAGGCAATTTGGTGATATTGCTCAACAGTAAGTGAACGAATTTCGAAATTGTTTATAAAATATTTGTTGCAAAATTCTTAATTCGCAGTTTTCTATTGTGGGAAATCAGGGACCCCTTCCCACTTAAGAATTTAAGGAATTGAAAATTGTTTATTAATTTTTAAATTTTGCAAAAAATTTATCTTTTTTAAATTGCATTTAAACGAGCTGCAGAATTTCGCAAACCGATCAGCGCTATCGTCTTTCGTTTCCGAGTTACGTAATTGTTTATAAGAAGTTAGCATTTCATGACAACTATTTTTTGGCATACAATCCTTACGCAGTTCCACGCAAGTCTTCAAGCTGTTTTACAAATGGCTCGTTTTGTTTCTCTACCACATAAGTATGAAGTTTCAAGCAAGATCCATCATGTACGAAGGTTGTTTGGTAAGTTAGTAAATTTCTATGAAAGAGCGCGCATTGTTAGCACGATTCTTTGTTGGGAATTTGACGTGCGGCGTAGAAGATTGAGGAAAACGATTTCGTGCTGCGATTAAACATTTGTATTTGGACAGCATCGCAGATCAAAAATGAATTAGATGAAGTACATATACTCTGCACCAGCATTGAAGACAATTTACTTCTGGATTAACGATTTCAAACGTGGTCGCAGAAGCACAAGATGAAGTGTGCTCTGGTCGGCCAGTTGATGTCACCACACCGAAAACCGTGGAAAAAGTGCACACTGGAAAATCGCCGAGTGAAAGTGCGTGAGATTGCTGATACTGTTGCCATCTCAACTGAAAGAGTGCACTTCATCTTGCACGAAAAACTGAGCATGTAAAAGATGTGAGAGAAATGGGTGCCGCGATTGCTCACTTTGGATCAAAAACTGACCCGAAAGAATATTTCCAAGCAAAATCTGATAATATTGAGACGAAATCAACAGGACTTTCGGTGCAGATCCGTCACTATGGATGAAACATAGATCCATCATTGCACTACCAAAACCAAAAAAGATTCAAAACAGCGGACACTGCCTGGCGACTAGACAATGTGCTCGAGAGTCAGTAGATCAATATCTCCATGTGTTGTAACAAATGAGCAAGGATTGCAACTTTAAAGACGTCACTGCCGAACAAAACAAGAATGAATATTACAGGCGCATTCATCAGTGGTTTTGAAATGGCTGAACAAAATTCAGCATCTTATTGTGATTCCAAGACTATTGTCTCTACTATTAATGACGATGATAATCCAGATTTAGACACATACTGCTACAGTTGCTGTTTTGTCAACAAGTGAGAAGTGTTATTTTTGTGGAGGAAGCCGCCATCCCAGAACGTCGTGCCCTGTGAGAGCTGCTGAATGTAGGTCATGCGATAAGGAAGAACATTACCAACGTGTGTATGTCGAAATCGTCCAACCATTCTTTGTCAAATACAATCGCTTCTACTAGAATGTTAGCATCTCTCACCTCTGCATTGCCGAACTTTCTTCAAAAATCAACAGTGTAGATCAAAGTAAATGGAATGCGTTAATGGTTACAGGGAGCTCTAAGTTTTATTAACCATTCTTTTGTAAGGAACTGTCACAAAATTGCTTCCATATTCTGGCAGAATTACGATGTGAAGCCCGTATAGAAATACAAGGCTTCATTAACAACAATGCGATAATGAAGAACCTTTGCTCAGATGCTATAATCGGCCATGATATTCTACAGTATCATTCATCTGTGAACATACCTTCTAGTACCACCAATTTCGCTTTTTGCTAATCTAACTTACAATTATGTTCCAATTGTTACAAATCTAGAAAACGAAATCTGATACGAAAATAACCAGTTTCTAGACACTGAAATTAAAAAGCTATTGCATCAAGAACTAATAGAACCCAGCTATTCACTATGGCGCGCTCAAGCTTTCGTTATAAGGAAAGAAAATTGTATAACAAGAATGGTTATTGATTACTCCTAAACTATAAAAAAAATTATCAATGCTTGATGCTTACCCTTATTTCAAAGATTGAAGAAATGAGTGCTAAAGTTTCGGTAAATGAAGTATTCAGCATCATAAGTCTCAAGAATGCCCATCAACAATTACCTATTCTGGAGTCGGAGCGAAAATTCAC